TTAGATCTGTTGAAGTTCTTATTGAAATGGCAGCACCAAGAATAGAATAACCTTGTTGTAATTATTCTAAGAATTTCATCTTTGGTTTTTAGAATACATTCTAGATGGTTTATTTTTAAAATCAACAGTAAAGGTCCATTTCATCAAGCAGCATCTACATTAGGGCTCGGTACAGGTGGGTTGTAAACAAGCTGGATATCGTTATTGGGACAAAAAGCAAAGGGGGTACCGTTTTTGAGGTCAAAAAGACACAAAAATTGTGGAGTTTTTTAGTCGACGTTTCGTTTTTTGAGGGTCTTTTACGATCACGGTTTGGGGTCAAAGGAGACTTGTAAAAATTCGAGAAGAGTCAAGATGGACTTCGCTTTTTACACTTTTCAAAAGCCACTCGTGCCGAGCCCTGATCTATGTGACCATAGACTATTTACATCTGGTTTGAATCTATTTCTGTCCTTCTCATTTTTATAAGCCAGGTATAGCTTACATGGCTATATCTGTCCTCCCTTTGTCGTTCCAAAGCCGAGCCAGTCTCGCCATTCTCGAGGCACAATGCTAACTTTTTATTGTGGATGGAATGAACACTTTTTTAGTTAATCTTGCACAATTGTAAAGTCAAGTGTGCGATGCTCTTTGATGACAACTTTTTTGCCTTTGTACATGATCGTTGAGAGGTTTTTTCTTGTCTTAGATGACACTTGTTCCAAACCGGAGGAGATGAAGGAGGCCCATTTTGTAAAGTGAGAATCTTCGAGTCTGCCCAGGGCGTGTTTGTTTCTTAACAATCTCATAATTCTTTCTGTTTTTTAGGTTTAAATTATAAGAAATAATTGAAATCTAGGTCTTTATATCTACTCTGGTATTTCTGATTTGCTATGATCTATGTAATTTTAGTGACGGAAGTAATCTGTCATAGTGTAAACCAATCAATTTAATGATCTTTATTTGTTCATCCAATACACAAGAGTGCACCGAAACAAAAAAAAGAAAAAAAACACTCCACAGAAAGTGGGATCGGATCACTTTGTCCCTTGCTGGATTGATCAGGCCGTTCTCCTCCTCCAAAAAGTAATTTTATGAAAATTTCTCTAAATTTCAAAAATTAGTCCTATTAAAATGCTCACCGTTTTACGAAAATCGCGTCCCCTCAAGATAGATTTTGAAAAATGCAAAAATTGCAAAGCTGCAAAAATTCGGATTCTTCAAGAATTTATTAGGCTCCACCCTCCGAGGAAAAGAAAAATTCGGCGACTATCATTTGCCATTAGTAAAGTATACAGTTGGAAAGCTCCAATGAGTCTGGAAAAAATTGAATAACGATTTTTAAGAGGCTCTTTGTTCACGACGAAGTGTCTCTAAAAAATTGTCGATGGATCTTCTTTGCCTCACTGAACCTTCCCCAAACTCCCCTTTTCCCTCCCCTATCTCCCCCCCTCCTCCTCCACCTATTTACCTTCAGAATTCCACTATATTCCCACAGCACCTTTGCGCCAGCTCATTCAAGTAAGATGAGCTTTTGCATCGCAACCCACAGAGGGAACGCACTGGTGCGAAATCGAATCGCGCCGAGTCTGTGCAAATATTTTGGCCGCACTCCAAAATTTTGCACAAGTACTATACTCGTCGCACACCTTGTTCGCTAGTGCAGGTATGCTATGTGTACGGCAATGTTTACAACTCTCTTGCATGGTGTTTACATTGTTAATCCAAGCGATGACGTCATTGGCGGTGATTTGCGCGCGCTGTCGCGAGCTATTCGCTAAAATTTATGACTTTGACGCTTGGAAAGATGTTTAATGTAATCCTCAAGAATTATAACCACTTGAAAAAGTTTTGTTATGAACTTGAAGTCCTATGGTTCCTCCCATGGTTCTTGAATTGCAAATCAACTGACATTTCTAATGTTAAGTGCAGCTGGTGCAAAATCTGTGCATGCAACAGCCACGTCTCGAATTTCATTTTCCTTTTCGGCTAAAAAACTTTCTTTGTATTCTTGTTCTTTCCAAAGCTAACATCTGCAAAATAGCAAATATTTGAGCACAGCACTCGTTCCCAGTGACCCTAAATTTTTTTACACAAAGGCTGCCGAACTTTATTGATAGCTATGCTTAGATAAGATAAGGTTGATGGAGGAACCTGTAATCTTTGGAGTTCTTCCTTGAATTTTTGAAACTGTTTGATGTAGTCGATTCCGGCTGGAACCATCTGAAAAGATCTACTTCTGATAGATCATTCCCTTTTGCTAGATTGCTTTGCAGATATGAATCAAGTAATCCATTTAGTTTTCAGTCTCAAAGCTACAACCTCAGTTGCAAGCGCTACTATTTATTCTCTTTACTCTATACCAGATTGGTCCACAAGGCTTGCTTCAGAATTTATGTTTTCGACAAACATAATTTCGTTTGGTCAATGAATTGGTTGAGTCATCATTGCTCTGGGAGGGAAATTCGTAGGCTTGCGAAGTGCTTAGAGATCATTGTTCAGCTGTCACAAAGTAACAAAAGCACTAAAATATTTTTAAATCTTGATCGTTATTAGGAATTCTAGAAGGCTCGACAAATTGCATCGCATTTTACATTTGTTTTACAATTAGTCGGTTTAACTTGCGTAGATTGATGAAATTTTTGAAACTATTTGGTTTTTTTTTTGCAAAATTTATGAATCAATTACGGTATGTAGCATTTCTTTCTTGTTCTTGACCCCTTGTCCCTCAGCTTCAAATTATTCAAAGTGGGCCAAATATGGTCAGATTGAATTATCACTGTAATCTCCGCTCCAGGCATTCTGTTAGTACAGCAGAAATTTCACAGGCCCTCAGAAATTAAATCTCCTGTTTCTTTCGCCATTCGATTTTCAAAGTCCATCCCTTGCTATTCGTATCCAATTTTCCCAAATTCAAGCTAATCCAAAAGTTCGCCTCCGTCGCTTGCCGTCAGCCTTTTCATTACGCCTAGCTTCTAAATCCGGCTATTGCCGGATTTTGTTTCGACTGCAACCTGTTTTCCTCACAAAGTCTCATCCCGCTGAGCTTGCAAGGTCTTTTTTCTCCAATTTTCACATGGCAAACGGATTTTTTCGACGCTCCCCGTTCTCACTTCCCCGCATTTGTTATGTCATTTCTCGCTATTTTTCCCCATTCATCACTCATTGTCAGTGTGACAGCGCTTTTGCCACGCGCGAAACACTGGCGACAAGCTGCTCGGCCGAGATAAAAACGCGTTATGCGCGGCCACCGAACGGCCATGAGTTTTGTGTTTTTCGTCGTTGCGTTCACAGTAGCAATTTTACGAGTTTTGTGGCTTTTTTCGCGAATCGTAACCATGCAGTAGCCGAGGCGCAGCGCGCACATGGCGGCTGAGCTGCTGTAATCGCCCACTGCCTGCATTTTGCATTAGCATTTCTTGGAAATTTCCTGGGGCTTTTGAGTTTTTTGTCGGTGATTAATATCCATATGTGCGGGAATATCATTATGCAGCTAGATACATAAGCAGATGCAGCTACTTGCATACATCTTTGTCATATGAAGTGGCATGTCTCTTTGAATACTTCCGTTATTAACCCATTGACGATCATGTGAACCACCGCTAGCCCACGCACTTTTTGCTGCCAGGGGCGATGTGACCACCGGCGATGTGACGGTGGCCCACACCTCTTGCAAAGTCATATTACTTATAGGTCCAAAATTTTTTCCACATAACAATATTTTCCCCAATTTTTTTGCACTCTTGGCGTCTCTAGGTCCGTCGTTCAAGAAGGTATTCATGATTGTTCACTACAACATTGCATTTCGTAAATAAACACAAAACCTTCCCCTCACCCAAAGTTTGTGCAAAATCGCATCGTCTCACAGCGCCGTCGTCAGTGGGTTAGGGTTCTCGTTCTAGTGCATATATGGTAGTCTAGGAACTATATCGCTAAACTGAGTTCATGCTTTTTTTTTGGAAATTTGTGCTTTAGCAGAACTTCAGTGTTCAGTCTCTAACGTTTTGAGATGGATTTGAATTAATATGGACTGTTTTATTTTACTTAATATTTCTTTTTGAAAATTTTCTGATTTTTGAGTTTGTTTTATCTCAGCTACAGCGTTATAGATCGAATGAAGTGGGTTGTCACTTGCTCGGAAAAAATTATTTTGAGCGGAGAGTCCAAAAAATTGTTTATTCTCCTTTCCTCGTACTTTATCTTCTTTCGAAATGTAATGAGAAAAAAAAATTATAGCTTTATTGGAACAGCTGTTTCTTTATGCAGAGTGTAATTGTCTACCATTTTTCCTTTTTTATTCTAAAGCACGCTATGATAGCTTTCCATTTTTATAGAAAAGCATCAAGAAAATGCGGATCAGTTTATTTTTCTGATATCTTACAAACACTTTTCATTGTAACCAGTTCACACATCTATTTGACTACAATTACAACCCAGATATGAGTAAAGACATATTTTCAAGGACAAAAGTAAATAATTAAAGCTAGTTGAGGCTACTTTCAAGAAGTCCTATCTTGTATTCAAAATTGATTTCATCCATTCGATTGACTGGATCACTCTTTTGCAGTCCTGACAATGAGCAACAAAATTTTTTCCTGAATCTGAAGAAATAAGTGTGACAGCGGACAACTTCTCCAACTATAATATCTATTAACTTGAATTTCAGTCACTTTTTGCCATGAAAACAAATCTTGCAAAAGAGCCCGGAAAACGAGGCATTGAATTTTCGCCATTCATCCTCCTGATATCATCTTCAGCACATTACAGACAACTTTTCTCGAGTCCAGTTATCCTCTGTTTACCCACTTATCCAAAGCTTCAAGCTTGATTTTCCTCGCCTTTTTTAAACTTTGTGCAAAAATCCAACTAGTTGTTACTCTTCCTATACGTCATCGATTTGCCATCTGCAAAGCGGATTCCTCCTACGCTTCGATGTTTTCTTGCATTTCGCCTGCAAATTTAATCGTTCGTCGTTCGCAAGTTTATAGTGTTTGCACTTTTGCTTATTTCCATATTTTGCAGGGGCGCCATGGCTGCAACTCAAACGACCACTATAGAAACAGTCAGCGTTGTGAGGCCATTAAAGGTGAGGGTTTTTTATTTTTGAAGAATTTTGTATTCATAAGACTCTTCCAAAGAGTATTACAGTGTTAAAAAATATGCATTCAGCGCGAAAAGGATTTTTTCATTAGGTTACTTATTCTCAAAGACGTAATCACCGGTTTGAAAAACAAATTCATATTAAGCCCTATATATCAAGCCAGCAATACCGTTATTAAGTAACCAGTGCGTCACCTCTGCTTCGCAGAGGCTCGCACTGATCTTACTTCATATGCCTTACTCATTCTCGACTAATGATGGCAATGAAACTCACCACGCAGTGCCGATCATAGCGAGTAAAATGTAAACAACTACCCATTTAAAATGCTTTTTCATGTGAGATCGGTGATTTCGCGTGGATAAAACTTTTTGCAGAAGAACAAATACGAATTTGAATAGGTTTTTGGACTCTTTCTGGCTTGGTAGCTACCATAAGGAATAGTAGGCAACGTGAGCTACATCTCTGTGCAAAATTTTTCTCGCATGCTCAGGTAAAACCATGGCAAATCAATCATTTACGCAAACATTTCTTTTTGGCGTCGTTCTCCTAAAGTAGTGAACTTTTGTCCACTTTTTTGGACTAAAGTCCATGGCTTGCACATCAGCATGCCGAACACATCCCCGATTTTGCAAAAAGTGGTAATACGGAACCAATTTTGCTGGCCAGAACCCAAGTGGATCCGTTTGACGCGCAGTTTCTGAGGGATCCAACCAACAAAAGCATTCGTGCTTTTGCACGGTAGGCTCTTATGTTGGTCGCATGTGATGTGCAAATCGGCTCAGGACGTTGGCTGAAACTCGCTCTACGAATTTCGTTACAGACAGACACACAGACATACACACACACATACACACACACAAAAACACGTAAACAACCTTAGCCCGTTATTATAAGTTATGATTCTTTTGCAACACTTCTTATATGTGGTTTTCTTATCCGTTAGCTTGTAAAAATTCGAAGTTTTTCCGATTACGGGGAAATTTTTCTAAAGTAAAAGCAGTTGCTCTCCATTCCCCTAGCGATTCGTCCAAAAATCTTCTTCATTCAGGAAAAAAATGTGCTCTTTCTTTATCAAATGTTCAAATGTCTTTTCGTCACTGTTGATATATCTCTGCTGTTTTGCAAAATTCGTCCCTTTTTACCCCTCTTTAAGACGTTTTGATTTGTTACTGTCCTCTAACATCCAAGATTTTGAGGCGTTCTATTCTGTAAATTTCAAACTTATGTAATCTCCCCCCTCCTCCCTCCCGCACCTCCCAAAGGGTTTTCCATTATTCGACCAACTAACACTTTACATTATTTCTCCCACCTGACTACTCCACTCCTTACCTCCGCAGAGCACTTTACCCCCGAACTTTACGACCTCGTACTTAATCCCTCAATTGTCGCGCACTCGCCCAACAAATCTTCTTTTGTCTGCTCTCTATCGCAGCAATAACATATTGAAAAGTCATTGTGCATTACGAGTTGATTAGATCACATGGATGAACTAGTTTTAGTACTGGATTTCGGGCAGTAGGGCTCAGAAAAGTTAGAGTGGGAAGGTGGATATATAAGAAGGAGGGAAGGAGGGCTGATAGTGGAGAAGTAATCCGTAAATCATCTGTTCTACCTCCAAAGCGTGAGACTACAGTGTCCTTTGCAAGCTACGCTTTCTGCAAATGCAGACTAAACATGTAAGATTAGCACAACGAATTCCTATGCTGCAATGTGACCTTGAAACTACAGTATCCGCTGATCATAGCTTAGGGATTACAATGAGCATTTATCGTTCAGGGTTTTGTATGTAGCATACCAGATGGCTCTACCGGTCTTACCGCTCAATAAATTCCTTTCATTGCACATTTATTATCTCCGCATTATAACGCCTGCTGAATAGCAAAGCGCTTCGGGACTTATAAAGAAAAACAGAGTCGGTTATGCGCATCTCATATTCATCTGCAAGGATTAATTTTTTTTTATAAAAAGCTTCCACGCATCATGAAGAAAAGCGAGAACAAAAATTCAGCATCGAATAAGTCAGATCGATAAGTAGCGATTAATCATGTCTGAGTAATCGAGTGTGAGAGCTATTTTCCATCCGTATTTTTCTTGATAAAAAAGGGATTACAAGTGAAGTGCAAGGTCATTGACTTTGAACAATCACTTCAAGATTGTCTTATAATGTTGCACTTACTTACAAACTTAATTTAAAATTTTTTTTTCGCTAGTCTTTATAAATAAAATCAATCCTTCTGATGGAAACTTTGATTTACTTTCTTCTCGATTTTTGTTCCTGGTCTTACATTTCCGTGCCTTCCGTTGATATTTCTTGGAAGATGCATAGGATAAATGAAACTGCACCTTTTAGAAGTTTCTGACAGAGTTAGAGCCTTACTTTGTGCAAAGTATCTCTAAGCCAGAAACTGGAGAGTTCGAAAAATTCAGCTCATCAATCACTTTTCAAGTCAACAAAAAATTTTTACTTCGAACTACGAATACTTCGAAACTAAGCACTACAAGTGTAGTGTGGATCATGTTCAGGCAGCTCTGTTATTTCGGTTCTAGAGAGTATTTCGTTATCATTTCAGGTAATATCTCTGATTTGTCTATGCGTCGCCATAGCTCTCTCTATAGTTTCGCTCTGTTCAACGTGGTGGTTACGTTCCGGTGAGTTCCTTTTTTTCTATTCGGACTTAGATTTCTGTGTTAAATTTTCTAAACTGTAGTCACAGGAATTCTAACCAAGTAAGAGGTTGAGTGAATAGAGCATAAATTTCTCGTTCATCTACCAAAGTTACCGGCTTAGCTGAGAAAACTTTATCTATTAGCCCTTTCACATGCTTTTCACAACTGCCGAATATGGGAAGTATCGAATTATTTTAGGCTCATTCCGAACAGGACTCTTTTTGGAGTGCACATCGTCTAGTGAACCATCACATGCACCACCACTCCGAGAAGCACCGCTTCCAGGGAAATGTCATGCTCCGGCCAGAGATAGTGGTTCGCTATTCAGTTATTTCCTTATTGGGCAGGGTTCTCTCAGCGTTTTCTCATTAGGAAATGCTTGCTGACTTCAGTTGACCTATGCGGTTTCTTAGCGCATTAAGTAAAAATCGCTATGTTCTTACACAATTCAGGAAAGCTATTTAATTTCCAGTTTTTTGGCCATAAATTATAGCCTGTTTTCGAATTTGAATGTCCGGGTCTTTCACTTTGCCATAGATCTTTTCATTCAGTAACTGCCCCCGCCCTCCCCCAAATAGAAGTCGGTAAAGAAATCTGAATTTTCTATACATAAGATTTTCGCCGGTCCCCGAGTGACCAGAACAGTTTTCTGGCAGCGGTTTTTCAAACAAACAACTGCCCAAGCAATTGAACTCTATCTTCAGTTACAAGGTTACGCGGCGCTAGAAAGAAATGTAAACGAGCAAATAGAGCCATTGTAGTTGGTGACAAAGAGGATCGCAAAAAATCTTATGAGTTTGAGCGAGAATACGAATATCAGGAAGAACCGGAGACCTTCAACCCTTGGGTCACCAGTTTTTTAGTATTTTCCTTTTTTTAGGTTATATCAAAGCTGTCGCTGCACTGATGATTATTGCCCTGATCTTCACAGCTGTCGCTTTCTTCCTGAACATTTGCGGCCTAAGCAAATCTGACATTCGGCGGAAGTACATCTACTACAAGTTCGCCACCTATTTGGCCATTCTTGCAGGTAAGTTAACAAATAAACACTTGCCACTGACCATTTGTGGGTGTACCGGTTTGAAGGAGTACGTTGATCTATTCATAGATCATTGAACTCCTTCGTAACCTGTGCACGGTGGGTAAACACAAGGGTTGAGGTAAATAGCACAGGTAACGATCGTTGCTCTTTCGGGTTCATACAGTAAGTAGCTGTTAGTAGGGTCAGTACCTCTTTTACAAATTCGAAAGCGACAGAACATGGAATTTTGCGATTTTCCGCGGTCGTCGGATCCTTCTCCTTTTTCCTTTCCTAGGGTAGCGATTTGTGCTAACTGACATCAAAATAATTTCTATACAACTGTAAACTTTGACCATGCTTTATTTAGGTCCGGGGTAAGCTGAATGTTTTATAGCCTTTGTCTCAATGCTAAGAATTTTCAAAAATAAGCATAGTGTGAAAAAACAAATTATGAAATGTTTATTTCAGTCTTGCTAGAGCTGACAGCCCTCATCGTATTTCCAGCATGTTTCTATGTGAAAATGAAAGAATATGGATCACGAAGAGATTGGGAGGTAAGCAAAATTCGATCACATCAGTTTTTTTCCTCAAAAATTTCTTTGAAATTTGGAAAAAATGTCATCGCTAGTTTTCTCCGAAGAGCACGATGCTTGGATAGAAAATGATCTGAAAACGAAAATAAGAGTTTGATAGCTGATGAAATTACCAGTCCTTATTAAACTGTGGAGTTTTTGACAATGCCATAGTTGGCAACTCATCCTTGTAAAAGAAAATCTTTCCAAAGATTTGAATTCTGCTCTTGGACGCTATCATGATACGTTTTGAGCTGTCTTTATGCAAATGATATCTTCCGCAATTAATCTCTTTTTTGGAGGTGACTTTTCCAGAAATTTCCATTAATTCTAAATTTTTAGGTTGACTGGTCCTATGGATTAGCATGGGGTGCCACGTTATTCACATTCGGTGCTTCGTTATTACTGATATGCGACAAGGAACATGAAGAAGTTTATTACAAAGAAAAAACCATCTACAACCCACCACCGGAGCTCATGAATTAGGATCCCGAAGTGCGGGGCATTATATTTTCTAAAACTTCATTTGGTCTCATAGGGCAAACCATTATCAGTAATCTACTGATGATAACGTACATGCACATTTAAACATTTATCGTTTATACTTTCATAAAGGGTACTCGCGATACACTGATCGATAATCGATCGACACTGAATTGTTCTCACCACATTGCCAGTTTCAACTATTTACTATAGCTAACCAGGAGCGTTTCACTGCTAGTCAAGTACAATAGTATTGTTATTTGATGAAGAAAAAGATTTTAAAAAATCTACCAAGTATAGTATACTTTATGCACGTGTATAACACATCATCATCACCCTTGTTATCTTGATTTTAACAATCTTTTTTTTTGTACTTTTTGTTGCAAGTTGCATTTGTGTGTTCATCTTTACAACACGGTGATTTTTCATTATATTGTAGAAATAGATTTCTACTTAGTGCTTGTTGAACCCTTTGAGAAGGTCACATGTGATGTTTGATCCGGATTTTCCTATTTTTTGAAGTTTTTTCTTGATTGATTTCATTTGAACGCTGATGTCATTTGTATATATTGCAGATAATAAACTACGTTATGCTTATTTGAGTAGAGCACCTGATAGCATTTCTTTGAAATGAAACTGACAGACTAAGAAAAATTGAACAAACTAAACGTAGAAGTCGAGAATGTTAGTGTACATCACAGTCAATTGTTGTAATTTGAAAAAAGATAAAATGAGCAGAAAAAACAGCTGTACTTTATCGTCGAATTTTTTGCAATCGCAGTAGCCAAGAGTCTGCTGTTTGCTGCCGTAGAGATTGCGAGAGTTTGGAATAAATTTCATGCACAACATCTATACATACCCTTTGATTCAACTGGATTGGCGGCTGGAAGGCGGAGCTTTGTGACCTAGTTAAAGGCAGCGTCCAGGCAAATCTGGATATACGGGGTTCTGATGTGGAAAGTAATTTTGGGGCCTAACTAAGACACTGCCCAAGCGGCACCTCAAATGGTGAATTCACAGTTGAGATATTCGCCTCCAAACTGGACCCCGGGATCGTGTCCGCATGGATTCATGGCGCGACACGCGTGGTCCTCGCACGAAACTGATCGTCGCGCCATGAATGCATGCGAATACGATCCCGGGGTCCAGTTTGGAAGCGAATATCTCAAAGCCCCAAGATTACTCTCCAAGTGAGATCACCATAGGCCAGGTTTGCCTGAACGCTGCCTTTAAGGCTAGAGAATGATCAGAGAACACACGCGCAAGAGAGAGTATGTGCCGAAAAGAAATTTTTGTAAGTGAACCAAGAAGCTCCAAACTCTGCCCACACATGTATCCAAGCTCTGCCCAACGATATAGGCTACCTGTGGCGATTCGCTCAGTCCTTCTACCAATTTATTGATTTGTTTACTTACATCAAGGGAAATGAAGGCTTACTAATCATCATTATCAGGTTAATTCCAAATAAACATGTGAAAGGGGTGGTAGATCTCATTTACATTTCGCGGTAAGGAGGATGCGGTGTTTCGAAGTGCGATTAGCAAAGAAGACAAGTCTACCACAGAAGCGCTGCTAACTGAATTCGGTGCAGGAGCAGGATTAAGAAAAGGGTGGCGCGAAGAAAAAAGAAAGAAAATAAAGGTAGGGTGAGTCGTATTTCACTTTGGTCTAAAAAGTTATTGTGTGAGTTTTGTCGGGCTCCCAATCTAAGCGGAACGGGAAAGCCAGCTAGTTCAGAATAAAGTTCTACGTGGTGGAGAGTTTGGGAGCTGCATGAAAGAAAAGTCCAAAGTGGCGTCGGTAGGTACTGCAGCATTTTAGTTTACGTACAATGAAGAAAGCAACGTGAGCTTTTACCCTTCAACACAATGAAAACACTGCCAGTGTGGTCAAGTGCAGAGCTTCCTCTCACTGCCGTGCCGCATGGCTCTTCTTTCTTATGGTCCATCAGCCACATTTTTATATACATACACTGTTCTAGATACAAGTAGGTTGATATCTCAGCGATAAGCCTTCCATCCGATCAATGCACAATTCTATTTCACTTCCTTCGTATGGTTTGCTTCAACTGTACTGCTCGAAGAACACGATTTGTATCCAGAAGACGTCGGGCTTAGAAAAATATCCCACCAACGTACGCCTCTAATTCCACCGTCCAGTGCAGTGTCATTAGCACCCACTGTGGAGTCGAACAGCTTGGATGAAATTGTAGCGCCCACTGCCTTTTCTATTGATAAAGCTAGGGCGCAATGGACTGTGTCATTGTTATAAGGTACCGTAGAAGTTGGTCAATGTCCTCATGACGGATGGCCTACTCCTTGGTTAAAGGCAGCGTCCCGGCAAAGTAATGGTTACTAGGATTTTACAGCGTTTCCTATACCCCAACTAATCTACCAATGAAGTCTGGAGCAAAAAGCGCGCCTGAAAAGCCTAAACTCCCTTTTGAAGTCTTCTGGAGCCCGCCCACTTACATTCTCCAGCGAACGCGGATAAGAAGAGCTTCAAAAAGCTCACTTTCAACATTTTTGATGCGCTGAAAAGCTCAGCCTAGGTTTAGCATGGCGAGAAGGCTTTGAAGAGGTGAAAAATTGAGAGCGAAAATTTGCAGGGACACTTTGACTAGTGCCTAGAGTATGGTCTCGAAATCAACTCTTTCAAAGGGTTTTTCATAGTTGATGAAATAGGAAGGGAGGTAAGCAGTACTCCAGTAAAGCTTCTAAACTTTTATTTCCGAAAGTAATTGGTGCCCTGATTAATCCCGAAATCCAGCTTGTTATTGGGGTTTTGCTTCATTGCGTCTGTCAATCTTTTATGCAATTGAGGATGCTCTTTGTGAAAGAATTGTGTACACGCTCAGCAGGCATATTTAACGGTAGTTTCGGGGCTTGGCACAGGTGGCTTAAGCAAGCTGGATATCGTTTTTTGAGACAAAAAGAAAGAGTTCATCATTTTGTGGTCGAAAAGACACAAATTATGTAACTTTGGTTGGCGCTTCGTTTTGAGGGTCTTTTTATGTTTAGGGTTTAGGATCAAAGAGGACTTCGAGGTAGAATTTTGCGGTGGTCAAGGCAACTTTGTTTTTTGCATTTACGAAAAGCCACCTCGTATCGAGATGTGGGTAGTTTCGAGGTGCGACCGTTTTTTGTATAGAGGGATATTCGTGGTTTCCCACCGTCTCGAGACGTCTTTCCATTGTAGAAGTTGTAGCGGCATACTTTTGCTATGGATGTGGTTATGGGTGGGATCCATATTTTTATCATTTTGATAATGCTCAAAATGCACTACCGTGGTGGCCACCTGATTCTGATTCGCTCAAGTTGAGTTTTCAGATCGACCAGTCCAACAAAACAGCCTGATTCTATTTGTGTCTGTTTGCATGTTCTATATTTGCATGCTCAAATGAATTTTTTGTTTCTGTATCGGTCAGATACAGCGCACACATACATCATACACCACCAGCACTTTGATATACGGTACAACTGAAACAGATTCATCGGGGGTTTTGCAGTGGATGATGAAGACAATGGTAAGACGAGAAACAGGTAAGAGGTAACAGTAATTTTTTTGCAAATCTCTGCTTCGCGGACGACGCCGTTTTCATTTGAGTGGTGACAGTGAGGCGAAGACGATAATTATGAATTGCAATGTTTAGCAGTGGATATCCCATGTTTGAAAGCTTGTTTGTATCGTGGTTTATTAAGATGATTCGTAAAGGCAGAACATTTCAGTATGTGAAGAAAGATTTCGAAGTAAGAGACGTCATTTGTTTTACAAGTGCCTCATGCTGATGGTAGATGTCTGTCCGATCGAAAACATGTAAAACATAAGAAATGGGTAGAGATATTTTTGTATGTTGTGGTAACCTTGTATACACAAAATAATCACCCTTTTACTAAAAGTTTCTGACTGCATTAATCCTAAGGTAGTAGCAAAGGTACTCAATCATATGTGTAGCGGACTTCGCCTCAACTACACGTCATTAATCCTCATTTTACGATATTTAATTGGTTCACCGTTAACAAAACAACCGACACCAATCAGTACAGCGTTTATTCCCTTCCATACTCAAGCAATCAAACCACTGCATGGGAACATTATTATATAAATGCTAACGACACAACGAAATAGAGAAGTTCCTCTAATCAGTTACTCTACTAATAAGGCAAGGATACTTGCTGACCGTGGCTTTTTGCAGTTACCAGTAGATGCGCCTTGAAACGCTTCCAGAAATGTTCATTGTCTGCGATGCATCTCTCAAGATATGGACTTATCTCATTATTAGTTTTACGAAATCTAGGCAGTCAAAATTGTCGGTATTCGTTATTTCAGACATGGATATATTGGAGACAGTTTTCCTGACTTCAAAGTGCTTTATTTTACTTGAACGCTCTATTGTGGTGCGTAAATGACCATTTCAACGATCTAGGTGAATCCTGTTATCGAAACAGCGCAAATCGTGGTGGCAAGAAATGTTCATAACTTCTTTCGAAAAAGCGCAGAGCAGTTACCAAAAGCAAATTTGGAATCAGCGCTTCAAGATGCATTTAATGGCCGAAGATGCCTATTAAAAGGCCAGGGTCACCAAATATCCTTCTCCTGTATTAGCTTGGCACATAAGTAATGCACGTTCTTATATAACTTTCGCCATGAACGTGCGCATTCATATTCTGGCAATACAAGGATTATGGCGTAAACTGCAAATGCAGACATTTTTGCCCATATTTGCCATCTTGTGTAAGGATTGCCGTAGATTTACGGTATATTGGAAAATTTATAGATTGCGTCAGATTTTGCTGAAACTTGGCTTATGGAGGTTATTCGACATGCTAATCGCAAAAATGAGACCCGTTTCGCTTGAAAAGGCCTCTTCCGCAAGGTTAAGAAATGAATTTTCATCTTAGCCACAAATGATTATGGTATCACAGGCGCCTTATCTTGATTTGTCTCTAAACTTCACTTTACTTTTACTGATTCTAATGTTTCACCTTCCCAGCTAGTTGCTGCCTGTAGTTCCTTTCTAATGAGTTAGATTCAGGTTTTGTACGGCTTCACGTTTGCCAAAAAACTGTAGCCACGATTTTCAACAGTTTTCAAACTGCTCAAATTTCTTCTACCACGTTATCAAAAATTAAACGGTTTGCGCAGCTTTGCAGCATACATCACAGCCTGCATATTCTCAGAAAATGATAGAGCTACATTAAATAAGGAAAAAGTTGTGAGAGAAGTTGCAAAACTTATGTGCCAACCTGATAAAATTGAGATATTCCAAGAAGAGATCATATCATTGAGGGATGATAAAAGAAGTGGAAAATGATGGAGGTATGAATGGTAAATGTAGGCGTATGTGAATCTCGAAAGTATGAGTTGAAGAGTACCAACGACTACGAGCATTCCATTTAATAGCTCGACATCGTCCTCTTACTGTGTTTTTTTGGATTCGCAACATTCTCCAAAACTTTTTCTGGCAAGGTAAGGTCGCTTTTAGAAAATTTTTGTTCGCGCTAAGAAGCCGAGATACTGATGCTCAACTTTACTAATGACATGAAAAGAGTTGCAGTTTCCGCTTCACAATTATGAGTGAT